GCGAGGGGCCCCGCGGGGGAAGAGCTCGGGCTGGCGGCGGCGTGGGTGAGAGGCCACCCTGGCAAATGGCACCAACCGTGTGCCCTGGCTCTGTGACTGTGCCTAGCTTGCTGTATCAGTAAAACAGCAATAAGACCTCCCTCCCAGGGTTTTGAGAATTAAATGAGTGATATTCAGTGGCTGCCACTGGCGAGTGCCCAGTAAACGTTGGTTCCTTCCCTGTCCTAGTGGAAGTCCTGGGAGAACTGGGTGTGGACTCAGAGTGGGACCCCTTGGGGCGGATACCTCTGGGGAGGGAGACTGGAATCCTCTTCCCTTCCTCCGGGACGCCCCGAGTTCCAGCCTGGCAGGGAACTCAGCGTTGCCAGAACTGCTGAATTTTGAAGAGAAAGCAGAAATCTAGATTTTCATGAGACTGTTCCTGATTTTTTTAAATGTTGGTCATGAATTTAAAATACTACTGCTACTACTACTAAACACTTGCAAGCCAGGTCTTAGAGGGGCCTGGCCGGCAAGGCAGGTGATCCTGGGCTCTGGTACCAGTGGACTTCACTGACACCTCCCAGAGGAGGAAGAGGCCTGCTGGGGCTGGGACTGTCCTGGTCACCTTGTGGGAGGCTTGGTGTCCCTCTGGGTTCATCAGGACTCTGTAATAAGTAATGCCAAGTTCCAGGTCCAGTACTGTGGCAGGCAGAATTATAGCTCCCTTAAAACATTCCACATCGTAATCTCTGGGACTGTGAATCTGTTACTTTACTCCTCGAAAGAGACTTTGCCAGATGTAATTCAGGTTACTAATCAGTCGACCTTACAACAGTGAGATTATCCTGGATTATCTAGGTTGGTCCAGTGGAATCACATGAACCCTTAAAAGCAGAAGAGGAAGGCAGATGGGAAGGGGGCGAGATTGGAAGCCCAGGAAGGACTCAGTGTGCCTGGCCAGGATGCTACTGCCTTGAAGATGGAGGGCACCTGCAAGGAACTGATTCTGCCAACAACTTGAATGAGCCTGGAAGGGAGTTCTCCCCCAGAGCCTCCAGAAAGAAACAGCCAACACATTATTTTCAGTGGTGTGTGACTCAGAGCATAGAATCCAGCTGGACTTTTGACCTAGAGACTGTGAGATAATAAATGGATGTTGTTTTAAGCCCCTAAGTTTGTGGCAATTTGTGACAAACAGCAAGAGAAAGTGAACACAGGACACTGGCCTGAATTTCAATGCTAGAATCCAGTTCTGGCCGTCAGGCTGGCCTGCAATGAAAATGGCATGTGGCCCCAGTTCCTTAGAGGGCATCCCAGCCCCTGCGTTTGCCACCAGCCACCTCCTCTGGTTTTCCCCACTCAATTCTAACATCACATCTGCGGCGAGCCCTTCTGCAACTTCTCCCAGCCAACAGATGGCTTCCTCTCTGTGGTCCCATGCTCTTCATGAAAACAACCATATGGTGCATCAGTTCTTCTATTTGTATGTTGTCCTACCCCACTAGACCACCAGCACTTGGCAGAGGAGGGGGCAGGAAACCTTCATGTTTGAATCCCCAGCTCCTAGCACAGAACAAGCATATGGTAGGTAGGTGAAGGGTAAAGCAGAATTCATACCAGCTTGTAGCCAATGACTCATGTCTATGGGGTGCCTGAAATAATTACTTCTTATAAATGTTTATTGTGTGAATTACCATACAACTCTCTGCATGCTCTTGAGAAAAGATTATTCTATTTCTATCCCAAGTCATGACTTATGGAATGGTTGTCTTATGGTGGAGTCTTTTAAAATGGTTTTCCATTGGTAAAATGTAAATGTGTTCATTGTAAAGAGTTGAAACAACTAATCAAAGATAACCGCTCTTAGCAAGTTTTGCTGAACATTCTTTCCCACATCTCTCCTTACTTGCACACGCTTAAACACGCACGTGTGCAGTTCCGCGCAAATGAGATTACATCCTACACTGCAGACACTGCTGACCCCTGACCTACTATCCATACTGCTCCCACCCAGGATCCCACACTCAGGCCAGGCCTCCACCCCTCCTCTCCCTAGAGGACGATCCTGCTTGGTTTAGGCCAATCTATACAGGGCGTTTTCCTGGTAACAGTTATCCGTCTAAGGGAAGTATGTGACTTAAGTTAGCTCAGCCTGACTAAAAAGAAGCTGTGGGCTTAAGGGGAGAGGTTTCTTTCTCTTTCTCTTCCCTCCCCTTCTCTCATGAATGTAAATTAAGACCAGTGGCAGTGGTTAAGTTTGCATGCTCTGCTTGGCGGTCTGGGGTTCACAGGTTCAGATCCCGGGCACAGACTTGCATACCGCTCATCAAGCCGTGCTGTGGCGGCATCCTATATACAAAATAGAGGAAGATTGGCACCGATCGTAGCTCAGGGCTAATCTTCCTCAACAAAAAGAGGAAGATTAGCAACGGATGTTAGCTCAGGGCCAATCTTCTTCACCAAAAAAAAAAAAAGAAGAAGAAAAAGAAAAGAAAAGTATTCCTAGTGGTCACTGGCAAGCATCTTGCAGCCAGACTCGCATGAAGATGATGCTGTGGATGGCAGAGCAAAGAGCTGAAATCAACCAGGTCTCCCATAGCCTGGGGAGAGATTGCTTTTTGGTACCTCTGTCTCTGGAACCATCTGACCTTGGCACTTAGAATTGTGTGAGCTATGTTATACAGCCCAGGAGACAGAATGAGGCAGATCTGTATGGCTGATAAAAAAGATCTGCAGGATATTGAATGGGAGTAAACTGTAATCGGTGCTTCCCTTTGAGCACACAGCAGGGGGTAGACACGTGAAGGGAGGGGGACTTTCTCATTTTATACTTTTCTATAAGGTTTTATTGTTAACTATATTTCTATATTACTTTTATGTGTTTGCATATGGTAAAATCAACAGGGATGGGGGGTGGAATTTAAACAGCTGTTTTGTCTATTTAATGAAAAGATATTTTCTGTAATGGAAGAAATAAAGACTCTGGTAATTATGCCTGAGAATGCCTGTTCCCGGCAGCAGCTCTGCTGGTGGGCAGAACACACCTCTGCAGGGTGAGAATAAACCCGATTTAGAAAGCACAGCCTTTAGAAGCCAGTTACCACAATGCACACCCCATAACAACCCTTTGGGGTACCGTGTCAGTTTGCTAGGGCTGCCATAACAAGTGCCACAGACTGGATGACTTAAACAACAGAAATTCATTTTCTCACAGTCCTGGAGGCTAGAAGTCTAAGATCAAGATGTCGGCAGGGCTGGTTTCTTCCGAGGCCTCACTCCTTGGCTTGTAGATGGCCGTCTTCTCGCTGTGTCCTCACATAGTTTTCCTTCTGTGCATGTCTGTGTCCAAATTTCCACTTCTTATAAGGACACCAGTCATACTGGATTAGAGCTCACCCTAGTGACCTCATTTTAACTTAATTACCTTTGTAAAGAACCTGACTCCAAATAGGGTCACACTTTGAGGTACTGGGAGGTTAGGACTTCAACATATGAATTTCAGGGGTACACAATTCAGTCCATAACAGGTAGTGATTACCATCCACACTTTAGAGCTAAGGAAGCAGAAGCTCAGAGAGGAGAATCAACTTGCCCCAGGTCACACAGCTTGAAAGTGGTGCCACTGGAATTGCAAACTCAGACCTACTAGCACAGAGACTGGGAATTTCCACCACACTCTGCTTGTATAGAAATAACTACTAGGTAGTTTCAATTGAGAAGATAAAGAAACTATATTTAACCAAAGAATTCTGTCTAATTCTATTTGCCAATTATCCCCTAGAATCCCATGAGATTTTGTGGAATCATTTTTTAAACACTGCAACACAGT